TCCCTCACCACAGTGCAACAGTGAAAAGGGACCCCTTTCAAACAGTGTCACGTTCCGAACGTTGTACGACATACGACCAACGACATACACCGGTATTGCGGTATTTTAAAAATTCATATCATAACAAAAATAAACACCGGTATTCGGTATGAACCGAACCGCCCAGCACTAATAAAATATATATTATATATTTATATATATAAGTTATTTGTATATTTATCGTTTTAGTCTTGCAATACCCATTTTATAAAATTAAAGTACTTTATGTATATTTTTACAGTACAATTTACAGAAAATTACAGAACAATGTTGATCTCCTGACAAAATACTTTTTTCTGTTTTTTTTTTTGTTGTTTTTTTTAGTAAATCGTGTAACTTCATTATTTAGCAAAACTGTACAATCTGTTAAAATAGAACCTGTTCAATTATTCATCAAAAAAATATATAAAACTGAAAGAAAATCTAGAAAATTAATTTTACTGGCAGTATCATAGGGTGCTATTTTTTCCTCATTTATAGATATAAGATTTCTTGGAATTATGCAAGGTTGACTACATTACAATATTTTCCTTTTCATATTGTTTTATACATATATATATATATAAAGCTGAAAGAAAGTACAGAATGTTGTTTTCTTTCTCTCTCATTTGTAAATTTCAGATAAATGGATACATGTAAATAATTATTTCAGTAGTTTTAGTTATTCTACTTATAAAGCAGGGCATTGCACCAAAAATTTGAGAGCCACTGCCTTAATGTATTGCAAACAATCATATTTTATTATTTTTTGCTTCTCTGCTGTTCCACGTTCTTTCGGTAACCCTGTTTTGCATGAAGTTCCCAGTTTGCTTGGCTTCATCCATGTTTGAAGGACGTGCCTCGTTGTCAAACAGTCAGAATTTATATTACTGCAGGCAGGTTGACAGAAACCATCCTAACAAAAGCTTTTCTTTTTCCTGGAGAATGTGAAGGTCCTCACACTCAGGCTGCAGGCGTGAGGGAAAATCAAATAAATCCCACTGTCATGCTGGATGCTGGCAACTGGCATGTCAAGCAGCTTGGCGTGCGCTGACAAGACCTATTAAAGTTTATAGACGTGCGTCAGGGCCGTCCATCACGATGACAGACAGGTCGGGCCCCTCCCCCTCGGCCGGTGCCAGGGCAGCAGAGGGTCGCGGTCGCAGCGGGATTGGAGAGCCGAGAGGGGCCGGGCTGAAGCGGGAGGATTCCTGAGGGACGAGTGTGTTGACCCTCAGTCAAACTGCACAGCAGGAAAGTGTGAATGAATGACCAGCTGGCCTCACACACGCAGACTTTTCACCCCTCCATATGGGACCGCTGACTTCAAGTCATGTCGGAATGGTCATATTTACGAGATGAACGCGACTGCAACTCATACCGGTGGGAAACTCTGGATTGCCTTTAAGGCCAGACTTTCTGAGTTGGCAACATGTCAATTGAAGAATCATGGCGGAAGCAAATTAATATTAAGCAAAATTATATTTTCACTAGATGGGCTTCCATCCACATAGTTTTAATACAAAGTTTGTGATATAACGTAAAAATGCTGGATGGTTAAGAAAATTATATATATATATATATACAGTGGGTACGGAAAGTATTCAGACCCCCTTTAATTTATTTAGTATTTGAAAATTTATATATACTGTATATATAGCTTTTGATATTTGAACAAAAAAAAAATATATATATATATATATGTATGTACATATATATATTTTTTCAAATACCAATAGCTATATATACAGTATATATACATGTTCAAATACTAAATAAATTAAATTTAGTTAAAAATGTTTCAAATGAAATATACATATAATTTTCAAATACTAAATACATTAAAAATCAGATTTATGATTTGCAAGCTTGTAAGTAGAACTTCCCAGGGTGACTTGAAGACTTATTTACAGTAAGTGCTCCAACCCTGAGAACATTGCCAAGTTGTTTCCTCAAAGTAAATGTCAATGAGACGTGACCCACCTCAAGACTGCTCTCTCAGAACAAACACTGGATTCAGGATGTGCTGCAGGAGAGCTGTTGGGTGAACACTATCTTCTCAGTGTTTATGGTGTATCCGTTTGATCTCACCCAAAGTTCAGTGTGGGGTGCCATAAGGCTCTTTCTTTCCAGTGTGAGCTTTCCGTGCCCACCTCCATCTGTCAGTGGATCACCAGCTTCCTGACAGACAGGCAGCAGCTAGTGAGGCTGGGCAAACTCAGCTCCTGTCGTCAAGTCAAATTCCTTGTGTGTGTAAACATACTTGGTAATAAAGCTCTTCTGATTCTGATTCTGAGAGTTTTCTGTGGCAGTCCTGAATCTTGCACTTGCTCTTGTTTCACAAGCTATTTTATAATATTTTGTTAAGTGCATAATATTTTATAAAATATGCATTGTATGCTGTTAGTATTTTAATACTAGGTTGATTGGTTTAGAGAGGCTGAGGGGTCTGATATGTCCGTTTGTAGTGCCACAGCAAGATTAAAGTCTCCCTCTCCTCAGACAGCCTTTCCCAACGCCTCCAGTCCTCCTGGCCTCATCTTATTTGTTTTAATTAAACCAAAGCTTCCAGCTTGGCCAGGTGTAGAGAATGATCTCTCTTTCTCTCTCTACACTTGCTAATATTTCGAAATCACTCCACCCAGTTTCCATGCCTGTTTTTCTCTGTTCTTGTTCATGCAAACGGTTTATGAAGGATGAATGACAGGATGCATGCCCTTTTCCCCATCTTTAATGTTTGCATATGAAACGCTCGGCCGTAGATTTTCAGTTTTTTGCGTGGGGGTGAAAAAATGCAGCAGAGAGCCAAAGGGAAATGGAATCATTCCACATCAGGAATGCAGCGTCGCATGCTGGCTGTTTCCTCTGGGCCGTGGCCCCACTGGTTCCTGAGCTGTCATGAGGGTTTGCCGGAGCATGAGGTCTCGTTGCCCACGCGCTGCGACAAAGCACAAAGCCCTGCATTGTTGCATATCTTTAAAGCACAGCATTCAGCACATCTGTGAGCCTCCGTTACACTGCAAACACAAGCTTGATATTAAATGCATTTATTGCCAGGTTTCCATCGGTGGTCCCTGAAAACAATAACTCGCAGGCTCTGCTTCCAGAAATAACTTAATGAAGATGTGGATTTGTTGTATATGTTCTCCAAAAGTACCACTCCACAAAGGTGTTAAACATCAAATGTGATTTTGTAACTTTACACTATATTTCACTTTTGGTGATGATAGATAAATTACTGAAATCTGGAAACTGGTTGCTGGAATAAATCTTGTAATGTTTGGAAACACTATATGCTATATGTATTCTGAGAGAAAAAGTCAGAATTGCAAGATATAGACTCAGAATTGCGAAACAACCTCACAATTCAAGGAAAAATCAAAAATGCGAGATATAAACAGTATTCTCACTTGCTCGCAAGTCCGAGTTTATATCTCAATTCTGACTTTTTTTTCAGAAACTCAGAGTTTGTCTCACAATTCTGCTTTTATCTTTCACCAAAAGATAAAAAAGGTAATTGCATTTTATCTTTTTTTTTTTTTAAATCGCACAATCTTTTGACTTTTCTTGTCAGGATTAGGAGTTGACAAGTTAGCAAGTAAATTGCAAGTCGGAAATGCTAGAAAAAAGTATGAGACTCTAAAGTATAGAGTCTTCATGCATCAAGGTTTAACCTGCATTTTTGATGTTCCTTTCAGTTGGACCCTCTTCCTGAAGACGTGCTACAACAGAGGCCGAACCCCAACGCCATTCACTCCATGGAGAAAGTTCTGGAAGTCCACAGTGAGTGCACACAAAGCTTCACAGTTTATTCATTCACCGTTGACCTGATACATATTGTACACAACTGCTGCAGCAATTATTGTAGTATAGTCTATTTTAGATAAACGTACCCCTGAACAACCTGTAAGAATTGTGATTGGCTGCTTACATGTCAATTATAAGGAGTCGTCTTCTTAAAGTAAGCCGTTTTTTGGTGAGAATGTTCTGCAGTATAAAGCAGACTTTATGCTGTGTAGTCATAACTCTGGCATGCATGTGATGTCTTTACATGTTACTTGATGTCTCGCACTTGTAAATAAACTGCTTAGTCATGTTTAAGGCTGAGCTTTGACTGTGTTTTGTGCTTAGGTAAATACTGGTGCTCGCTGCAGAGATCTGCCTCGACTCTGGGATACTCACTGCTGGAGGCTCAGAGATGTGAAACTGAAGAGGCAGAGACGGTGACCGCCATGGCCTCCCTGTCTGTGGCCAACAAGCACATGGGAAAGAGGTGCAGTTATAGCTCTGTGTGTTTGTCAAATGGCATAATCCACAAATTTTGGGTCCCTTTACTTGTTTTTTTGTTGTGAGAATTATTTGATGTGTTATACAGTATATAACTATTATAAATATTTATATATACATACATACACACATACATATATATATATATATATATATATATATATACAATATAAAATAATGGTTTCTATTTTAATATCCTTTAAAATATCATTTATTTCAAGATTTCTATTTTAAATAAATGCTCTTCTTTTTAACTTTTTATCCATCAAAGGATCCTGAAAAAAAAGTATCACAGGTTCCAAAAAAATATTAAGCAGCACAACAGTTTCCAGCACTGATAATAAATCAGCATATTAGAATGATTTCTGAAAGATCATGTGACACTGAAGACTGGAGTAATGATGCTGAAAATGCAGCTTTACATCACAGGAATAAATTAGATTTTAATGTATATTCAAATAGAAAAATTTTATTTTACATCATAATAGTACTTCACAATATTAAATTTTTTCCTGTATTTTTGATCAAATAAATGCAGCCTTGATGAGCATAAGAAACACCTTTAAAAAAACATTAAAAATCGTTCTGATCCCAAACTTTTCACCGGTAGTGTACATTGAACTGTAATTATTATTAAGGGTAAAAATAAACCTGGGCTCGACGGTAAAGGCCTGCCTGATGTGACTGATCCCAAACTTTTGACCGGTAGTGTATATGTTAATATATTATAATTTTACATGAAAATTAGAGTTATAAAAATAAAAAAGAAATATTACAAAGAAAATGACAAAACCACAGCAGAAAATCAGTCAAAACCAGTTTTAAACTATTCAGACATGTCTCGGCATTTCTAAACGTGAATGAAATAAATAAAAACAATTCATATAATATTTAGTTTGACTTCCAAAATTATGTCAATGTTAAGCACCTCCTTTCATTCACAATTTGCTCCAAAATGACTTACAAATGAGTCTCGGACTGTATTTTGTTCCTTATTCCTGGAAAGTTGCATATATTTGCTCATAGCATGCCTCCTGACTGTGTCTGTTTCTGTGACCCTGTGAGTATTTCTGGTTGTGTGATGGGACAGCAGTGTTCTAGAGGTGCAGGACAGGTGTGTGCATGAGCGTTGATAAGCAGACAGGACTCTCTGAATGTGCGGGGCAGACGTCCAGCAGCGTCAGGCTTCTGAGAGACACAGTCTGCCAGAGTCCTAATTGAAAACACTCAGGCAGCATTGAGCACAGATGCTTGAGGTTTCTGGACCTTCCTCACACACTCACACATGTGTATTCATGTGCCCAGCACAGGTTCACACTCACATTATTTCCTGTTATTCCTATTAGGGGCCAAGTGCAGAAAGTGTGTTGACACCTATTATAAGTGTTGGTTTTCCTAGTTTAATATTCTGTGTTTTCTGGCTGGGCGTTTGGCACACTGGTTATGGAGGGTCTCAAAACTCTTTGTGCCAGTTTCGGAGTCTCTCAAACACTCTAGTGCCACCAGAAAAAGTTTTAGCTTATAACTTTTTAAACAAAATTATTTTTGTCTCTTCCTTGATCTTAAATTTCGTTATTCTGGTGGTCCTTATTTCCTCCACAATTCTCAAATAGGACGCTCAAGTTATGTATGACTCCGCCATGCACCATTTCTGTCTTTTACCATGAATTTGCATACTGTTTTTACTCATACGAAACTCAGACTCAGATTTTAATGTCTTGCACCTTTCTCCAGAAACACCTGCAAATTTGACACCAAACAGGAAGTAATGCATTAATTTTGAAATGAACATGTACAGTGACCCTAAACTTTGTGCATATTGAAAAATATAATGCCATTGGAATACCATATAATCCAATTGCTGTGCCTATATAGTCAAAATGGGAAATCTGCGCTATTTGAATATATAATTAATATATTAGCACCACCTTACTGAAGGATCCCAAGTAAAGACTTTTTTAAACACATTTTTAAATATATTTGTGTGTTTTTATTGTTAACTAAAACTATTAAAATATTAGTTTATATTGGATGAAAACTTTTATGAAACTAAGAAATGTATGTTGCCTTAGCAGCTAACTGAAACAAAATAAGTTCAGTTAGTTCAAAAAGTACTAAAATTACTAAAACTAAATTAAAAAAGTAAGAAAAATAGAAATATTCAAAAATATATATAATAATATTAATAAAAAAGACAAAAGCATATCAAAATTGCTAAACAATTGAACTAAAATTAAAACTAAAAGCTAAAATAGTATATAAATAATACTAGAATACATGAACATGGGTGTTCCCAGAGGCAAGGAAATCTGCAAATATCTTGGAATTTTAAAATTGCAATTTCCAGTTCTAGAAAAAATATTAAAATAAGTCAAATCTTAAATTCATGAACATTATATAGTGAATATAAATTTCCATTGTACTTGTCAAGGTTATTATAGTTAACTAAAAATTTAAATTTTGAATAAAACCATAGAACAAAAACATTTTTGTTACTTAAATATAAGTATATGTTTAAGTTTATGATTCAAAATACAAAATGAAACAATGATACAAAAATAACACTGGTAATTGTGCTTGCTTCTGAAATATTCAATTAGTGATTACATTAAAATTTATTTGATTAAAATCACAAATATCATGGAGTGAAAAGATGTGGAAACTTTTCATGTGTTTTGCTATGTCTCCCCACAGGACAGAGGAGGAGCCTATGGAAGAGGAACCTCCATTGTAGAAGGTCCGATCGACTGCCTTGGTGACCCTCTCGGCTCAGAGCCTCTTCAAGGCCTCTGACGTCGCTCTACTCTCTCTATCCGTTTCATTTTTTTGTCCCACGATGTGCTCGCTTTGAGCACGGGATCTGAAACGGCCTGAAGAAATCTCTGTGACACCCAGAGCGCGACAAACGTCTCAGCCGTGTAAGTCTGTCTCTGTCCGTGGCAGAACGTCCAGGACTGTTAAGCCTGGTCTGTCCGCAGGGACGCTTAACTTTTGAGCTGGACATAGACTCACGTTTCATTGTTAGATGTGAGAGCTGGTGCTTTCGACATGAACTTTTTCATTATTTTCCAGAGCCACTATATGACTGATTTCGGCTGTTATGGCCTACGTTTTTTATTTGTCGTCTCTCTCTGTTCGTTTGTCTGTCTTTCTTTTATTCTTGGAGAAAAAATTGACTCGTTCCATTCGCAATTCGAGTTACTGCTTCACGAGGGTGGACGATGTGTTCGGGAGAGCGATCGAAGGATTCTGGGAACCCCGACGGAGAGTCGACAATGCGAGTTTGTGCCTTTTTCAAAAGATGGATCCAGAAGAACATTGCCTTAAACTAGTTACAGGAGGGAAGACGTTTCGCCGTCTCGGTATTTCTTGACACGCGACGGTCAAAGGCTGGCCTGAAGAATCGAGAAACCCTCAGCATGTTTACCAGGAACTCCCTGCAGATATCTTCATGTTTCACACGAATTATGACCTGTTTTCTGTTCCTTCATTTTTACTGGGCTTGTGTTGGACGTTACATGACTCTTAAGTGTCACTGACAAACAAACTTTAAGGTAGTTGCCAGCTATCCAAGGGCAAAACGTTCGATTGAATTCTCCAGCGCTTTAGACGGCAAGCCAATGTAGCGACTCGTTTCAACTCTTAATGACCAAATACGCACCTCCTCCTTCTCCGAAAAGTTGGTCAGCATGCAGCTTTCCATCTGCCAAATCGTAGTTTAACAGCGCCGACAAGCATGAGTTTGCTGCGAGCATATAGGATAGGGCTGCGATGACCTCGTGTCATACGATTTGTAGTTCGAGACAAACTTTCTATTTTTCCTTCTCACGACATGTTGTACTTTTATATAGCTATGAATGTCTAGTATTCCGGTTACTTTACAGTTAATCAAAGGGCACTAGCGTATCACTACTATTATTCTACTCAGCAGACAGTCAATTTTATTGACACCTTCGAAACAAGCGGAAAAGGGCTGGTTAACGATTTTAAATGTACCACTGAGCCTTCAGACGTGCCACCTGGTGAGATTTAGCGAGGAGGGTTATGGGCCTTTCGCTAGGGGCGGGTGCTACCGAACATGTGCCCGTCACATGACACAATCCAGGAAGTAGCGGGACCACCAGCTTCCACTCAGAAAACAATCGTAAAACGCCTCTGAGACGACTGTGATACTCAGACAATCTGCATGGGACATTGACGTAGTTTCGGAGCCGCGGCGGCGTTTCGAAGCGGCACATAGAACTGTATATATACGCAATTATGCATGCTGACAGTAGATCATTTGGCTTGACTTTGATTGTACATTGAACTTTTCGATTCTGGACTGATGAAGAGGCGATAATTTGTTTGACAGCCCCTGACTCGTGTTTAGCCTCTCGGCAACTACCTTTGCAATTCTTTTTCTGTGTGTCATGTTCAATATGAGACGCATTAAGGCAGGAGATTTGACTCACCGTTGCCATTGTTCCTCGATTTCATTTTTATATATGCCTGTCACGTATGACTACTCCACTTTGGGTTGGTGCCCGTTATTTTCTTGTTTGTTTTACTTGCACGTTTGTCCTGTTTTTTTGTTGTCGTTTTGTTTTTTGGTTTTTTTACTTTTTGGATTATTTACTTGTTCATTTGTCAGTCTTTATGTAGTAGTTAGTTTCGTGTTTTAGAGAGTAACAAGCCTTTTTTAATTGGTTTTTATCTTAGTTTTTTTGTATGAGGCGGGAGGGAGATGCTTTTACTTTGTATAATGATTCCGACAATTGTGTATTTACTACGTTCTGTTCATAGTAGATTTATATTACAAAGATCTATAGATATATTATATATTATAACGATTGCAGACTCGAAAAAGAGAACTAGTATTGCAAAGTGATATATTTCAGTATGTCTCTGGCTTCGGCCGTCGCTGGTTCCACTGAAGGCACTGTTTATTGGTTTCATGCATTCGCAGTAGCATTACTCTGGCACCGTAAACTCTTGATCAAACGGATCTTCGTGGTTCCAGGCTTCATTTTGCTCTTTAAACTCTAAAACAAAAACATTATGGACTGACACTGTACATTTCCATTGGTAAAAGTCCATTTGGATAGACCAGCTAGACTAGATGCTGACATCACAGTGATCCTGTGGGGTACATCTAAAAAAATTATTTTAGCGTATTTTTAAATGGGTTTGAATTACTTTAGCCTGTCAACAACATGTCCAGGTCGTATTTCACCCAGAAAAATACTTAAGAAATTGCATTTTGCTTAAAAAAAAAATAAAAAATGAGGCCAGCAAAACAGGATCAGCCAATGATGTGAGTTTGGGGGTGTGGCTGTCTGTTTGTTCGACCAATGGCAGACATGGGAGTTTCCAAAATAAGTGTTTGAAAATAATCATTATTTGGAGGTGCAGAAATTATACACACTTAAAAAAAATGGTGTAGAAACAATTATCTCTTAGAAATTGCTAGTAAATTTCACAAATAATTACAAAGTAACAAGTAACACGTTAAATTAAATTTTGAAGTAGAAAAACCGAAATAGTTTTTTCTTGTAAAACATGCATTAAATATGATATAATAAAATGCTTTAAATCTTTTTATTTTAAATCTGTTTATGAGAATTAACAAAAAAAAATGAAAAGTAAAACGTCTTTTTAAATTATGGTGGTTGAAAATGTGCTCAGTTATCATGAAAATAATTTCACAATGCAAGAAATCCCCAAAATAAGCTTCAGTTTCTTTATGCCAAATATAATTTCTTATTTACCTCCTTTTGATTTTGGGGTGAAATGCAACCTGGACGTGATTTTGTGAGATTGTTAGTGTTTCATTTTGCGGTAACGATATCAGTGATGGTTCTCTGGGGTTTTTTCTGTTTTGTAAGATCTTGTTACTCTTATCAAGCACGATCTATTTTGGGCATTTTTGCAGTATCATATCCAGACCAAGCCCATCAAATCTCATCTGAATTACTTTCAAGAATGAAGTGCGAAGGCTGACACTGGTTTGAAAGTGTCCCGGAAATGTAAAGCGACATTCCCAAAGAGTCTCATAATAGTAATACTCAACCGGACCATCACTACAAACCACTCTGCAATAATACTAACGGCAGCCTATCAATACAGTCTTGTCAAAGGGACACTTCAATCCGGTTAATCCGTTTTGTATTAAAAAAAACTGCATTTGTTTTTCCAATTTTTTTATTTTAAACCTTTCTTGTCATTCCTGCTAATTTGCCATGAGGTCTGGCCAGTTGTTTATTTGCAGGCCAGGGTGAAGTTTCTTTCATTCTCTTTCCTTCACAGCTGTAGATTTCTGCATGGTTTGTGCGTCAGCATGCCTGTCTGTCCTTGTAACATATTTGCACAAAGGAGGAACCCGGGAGGGTTGAGGCTTTGGAGAACGCATGGGATGGAAGCTCTTCTTTCCTCCTCTGTTTCTGGTCAGTACACAGACGGATTGATGCTCTTGGTGTCCGACGGATGTGCTTTTTACTTGTTTAAAAATGGAATGAAAGAAAAATGACTTTTGAATATTTTACAACAACAACAAGAAAGTTATCTAGCACTTGTGACATACAGACTATAGACTTTATTGTATTCATGTAGAGCATTGTTTTAGGTGAACTACACACTATGCCACATGTTAGACTGTCTTTCGTTTCTTTTCTGGTTTTTCTGCTCTTCCTTGGGTCGTATTTTTGGGTCTGGAGGAAGACTAGGAAAAGATTAGGGTCATTCCTTTAGAAACATCTGGAATCATCAAAGGGCGTTTTCCAGATGCTTGTCAGATATATCTTCAGTTTGTCCAAAAGGAGAAAAAAAACACTTTATCAGCCAGTAATACCTGTGACCACTGTGGCTCGAGAGCAGTTCTAGGTTTACAAAATGTAAGAAATGCATATTATTTTTGTCACTTTGTTTTTCCATTGTTACAATAGAACTTTTCTTGGGACCTTTGCTCTAACGTTTGTCTTTGACATCAACTATAAAGTTCCTTGTTTTTGAATACCACAATGTCTTGTTTTTTTATTTCCGAGCACATTCTTTCACTGAATGGATTTACATAATGCAATCAGGAAACGGGGCTCCAATAATAACATTAAAATCATTTTAGTGATTTAATGCCATATTTTCTATTAAGATCACTTACTTAGGTGAGGTCATTTTTCTGCTCTCATATGACATCATTCTTTTATATTCTTTGATCCCCATTTTAGATTTATTGTACACTGTCATAACTTGTAGTGCATGTGCTCTTTCATACAAAAACCAGAAAATGTTGGAGGGATGGACCAGGGCTTGCTTATTTATTTATTTATTCTCAAACTACAACAACTTTACCTGCCATCTTTTGTTTGTTTATTTATATATATATATATATATATATATATATATATAT